TTTTCGCGGCGGACAGCGACGTCTATGGGAATTTATCGGTTATGACATCGATCGCGGGCGGTAAAATTCCATCCAGGCGAAATGGCAGGTGATTCGAGCTCCTTCCCCGTCTTTCGTCCTGCCACGAGTCGCTCCGAGTCGTTCCCGTCGCATATCGTAGTTTCCGACTTCGTACTCGTGACGGAGCTCCCGGTTGTCCTTTCATCAGGCGGTTGACCACGGCTCGAACGACACCCGGCGACGAGTGATTTTGGTCCTGTCGCGACCTCGTGTCACGTTTACGGCCCGTTCCACCGTTAATCGGTCTAATTACTTGAAGGATCGCGGGACGCTAAATGGAAAGACCCGTGTGCTCGGGAGGCGAGGGAATGGTAAATTTCGGCAATTATCGGCGTTTTTTCGGTGAGGTCGATCGAGGATGGGGACACGTAGAGGGCCCTGTGAATTGGAAGCGACAGGCACCGCAACTTACGGGGGTTAATTCGACGCTTCGAAGGCCCAGGGGCCCGAGGTCGACGAGACTAATGAGCTGCCGACTCGTGCGAACCCCAAAATGTGGGAGAGGGCGGGCCAATCGAGGCCCCGGGTGCCTTTTGCCATTAACCATTAAAGTCGTTGGACGTAAGGCTAATTTCACTGGGGTGAATGGGGAGTTGGCGGGGGCGCGAGGTCCCATTTACAAATTCATCGCTACATTGAGATTGACTTTGGAATGAGTAAGAGCAACTGCCGCTTGGTGGAGCTTGGTAGCTTGGTACTCATGCACACATTACGTTTATATTACCCTAACGTTGTGTGCGTTTATAAGCGTGTGTGCGTGCTTGCGTGCTTGCGTGCATGCGTGCATGCGTGCATGCGTGCATTATATTTAAGTGTACGACAATTGATTGGGGACGGCAAGTGTCGTGGAAATTTGTGTTTAGGTGGACCACGTGAGTTGCGTACCAACCGGTTGCTACGCAAATCGCATTTCCCGTTGTATTCGCATTGAGGAAGAAGGACGCAGAGTCGTCGGTGCTCCCGAAGCTTCCCGATGCGGCGTTAAACGTTTGACACGTGGAAGCGTGAAGTTTCGTCAATTTCTGCACCGACGCATCGAGGCGTGTAATGCGTAAAGAGTCACTCGAAGCTTGGAGTTGGTTGGGTTGGCAGAGTATCGAAAACCGCGATATAACTGGGCACCAGTTATGCTGATAATGACATTTTGAGAAATCGTCATACCTTTCATTATGTACATTTCGCTTTTGACGTCGCACCCCATCCACCCGCGCCCGACTCTCCTTCTCGACGTCCCGACTCGCTCGAAGCGGAAATCGAAAGTACACTTTTGGATGGAAGGGCTGCATCCGTTAGACGAGACGACCGAATGCGCTGCGGGTACGGCATCCCTCCCCTTTATTTTCTCTTCGTACTATCGCGTAACGCCGTTGAAAAGGGTCGCACGCACACACGCGCTCATACGCATATATATTAATGCATACGAAAAAATATGCATATACACAATAAACACAATTATGTTTTTTATTAAGTAATTGGATTCATATCAAATTTAAGTAATTAAAAGCTATTATAAAATCGTGCTTGAATTAGAAACGAAGAAAATATTGTTCTTCTTTTGGAGTAAAATATAATTAAACATACTAATAATGTATGAATTTAGTGTGGCACTTTATTTACATAAATTACAAGATAATTGTTTGAGTGAATTATAAATTTGTTGATTTATTGATATATGTATTTGTGGATTCCGTGGTAATGAAGGAAATTAAATTTTTTCACAGGTGGTGAATTTTGATTCAGAACTATTATAAAAATAGTTCGTTCGATATAATCGTATTCGAATATAAATCTATTTGCACCTTTGATATTATATGATAATTGAATTTCTTTTCTTGCAAAATAGATCTGTTACCCTCTAATGTATTATAATTTACTATTAATCATTATAAAGTTTTATATTTAAGAATTTTTATATAACAAGTATTGATAGAGAAGATCTGGTAATTCTAATTTCAATATGCCTTTTAAAATTATTCGACAACTTTGGATTTTTTTGTATTTATGAATGTACTGTATGAGTGCAATTAATATATATATATTATATATAAGCATATATTTATGAAATTGAAATAATATCTAAAATAAATGTTATTGAATGACATAAATTATAATATTCTAATAATACTGTGTATCATAAATTTTCTTTTTAACATAATATGTTTTACTCTGTTCAGTTTTAATATTATATTAAAAATATGTCTTTATTAATTCAATTATTTATAAATAAAACGAACTACTTTATGTAACAGTCAATTGTAAGCAGAAATAAATAGAAGCAGCGAAACGATCGGCGAAAGCGGCGGGACCCACAGCCAATAAAACGTAAGTAGGAAATAATAAACGTTGACGTCTAAGGGAAATATTCAACGCCAACAAGCTTCACGGTACTAAGGACGGCAGCTATAAAAAGTTGAGCAGGTGTCACGACCTTTTGATTTGACGTCGCTGGTCATACGTGCGAGTCCCGAAATTGCCTGACGGGGGTGCGGACGTACTTGCAGCGTAAAGCCAACCCAACGATCCCAAGGAGATTAGAATTAAATTATGTCGCCACTTATACTTATAGGCTCGGACTTGGTGACGAGGGAATTAGGAATGTGCACGCACACGCTTATGCAAAGTGCGCGAGCGCGAATACGAACAGATGTTCGAACTTGCAACAGGAAGACAAGCGTCGCATAAAACAAATGTGCGTGCACGCGATAATGGCCCTTATTGATTTTTTTTTTGCACATTTTACACGCTAAACCGCAAGATTTGCCACTATCCCCATCCCCTCCCCGCCCCCCTCTCACTCTCACTCTCACCCCCATACCCACACTCTCACACGAACCCATATATATATATATATATATATCGCTGCTATTAAGGAATATAATCCATCGTTGGTCTCCCAACAATTTAATCAGCAGGCGAATTATATTACAAACTAAAGTCCGTGCTTTTTTAGCTAATATTTTTATACGATAATAATTGACGTTGGTCTATTATTAGTTTGATTTATTCTAACGTGTTTGTTCTCGTTATCATCATTTATTTCCATCGCTATCAACAATGAAATTAATTCCACTTCGGTTAGTTGTGGCATTCGCGTACGAATATTTATTTGCCGACGGACGCACTGGCGGTAAATATTCGAAAATTTGGCGGGAAAGGAGACGACTATCGATTACTTTCTCCCACGACTACGTCTGCTGCTAATAACCGTAGAGAAACGCCAAGAACGTGTAATTTCTCCATTAACTATTAACCTTCGCTCTGCATTAGCTACGTTTAACCTTGGTGAAGTCATGAAGACTTCAGTCACGTCTAAAAACGCGAGCGCTGAATTCGATGTTATGATTATTAATTCTTGGAAAGCAAATGTCAGACTTTGAGTATTCAGACTCGCGGTCTTAATCTCTTTTTAATCAAGAAATTTTTTATGAAAACAAAGGTAGATTTAAGTCCATTCGTTAAACTCCAGAGTAATTTTCGTAAGTAGTAATTAATTTTTGCATAAATATGGGGCAGAAAAGATGATAAACAGGACTACTTACATACTTCAAATAATTCGAATAATTTCAATAAAAGCATTCGATGCGCAACTAGACGAGCGAATGTATTAGCTTAAATAATAATAAATCTCGGCGCGATACAAGTTGGATATAATTCGCTGGATCACCTATGTATTGTGATTCAAAGTTTCAAAGATATTCTCTCTCTCTCTGTGTGTGTGCGCGCGTGCGCGCGGGTGTGTATGTGTGTGTGTGTGTGTGCGTGTGTGCGTGCGTGTGTGTATCGTGACAAGCGTAAGGTAATACGATCAAATTAATACTCAGCTTTTATTTTGGATCATATTCTACAATATGAGATGACCTTAACTAGAGGTCTTACTTTGTTCCTGTCAGTCTCGCTTCAAGCTCGGAATAATTATAATCCAAGAAGAGCTTTTAGTGGTGTTTCGTTTTCAAGATTAATAGGTGTGTTGTTACCTCGGCAATTAATCCAAATTGAAACTTACAGTCCTGCAATATTCGCACATCGTTATCGAAATAACAAGAGCTTGATAAATGAAAATATATTTTGAAAAAGTGTTATATATACTATTTTTAAAACCATGAGAAGACAAGGCGTATATGATTCTTATATTAGAACTGAAAGGGAGAGAGATAAACGAAGAATTGCTTGGCAGAAACAACAGGAAAGAGAACAAGAACACGAACGACGTAAGCGTGAGAAAATTGAAGAATATGAAAGAAAAAGAGCCGAACAATTGGGACTTAAATACAAACGACGATCATCTAGTAGAAATTATAGCAAAAGGGAAAATTCAAAATCAAGTAATTTTGAACAATTATTTAAAAGTTCTTCGAGGTTCGCAACTTATAAACATGTTTCCATATTAGAAAAGTAAGTAAATACTAATATGTTTGCAAAACATATCGACGCAGTAGAAAAGGGACAATGATTCTTAAATGATTTCAAGAAAAAAATGTACAAAAGAAAAACATGTTGTGTGTGTAAATTAAGGTGTATTACATGATAAAAAGCTACTTTATTAGCTTTTGTTTATCTCAAATTTTAAGAACTTCGAGATAAAATAAATAATATTAAGTGGATAAGTTATATTATTATTATTTATAAACATTGTTTAAAATAATACAATTGGTACAATCAACGTTATTTTATTGAATGATTGCCAATATTATAGCCATTTTTACACACTTATAACATTTTTTATTTATTTAATAAGTGAAAAAAATTTAAGCTAATATTTATTGAATAGAAAAATCTTCTTATCCGTTTAAGCTTGCCGTCGTAACGGTCGATAATATTTACATTATTCATTTAGCTAATAATAGCTAATAAAATTGATGCGCATATAAACAATAACAATAGATATTCAATATTTGAGATTTTGGCGTATGTGAAAGTTAATTACATTGTTTCAGACATCACTCATCAAAAGACAATAAGAGTAATTTTAATGAACCTGAAGATGAACAGATAATTCATTCGGATGAATTACGAGATGTCAAAGTGACAATCTACAGAAATACTTCGGAACATACAACTGAAACGATTGCATTTCGTCTCAATGCTACGAACGCGAATAAAATATTATTAACTAGAAGAGAAGGTGATTTTTTTTTTTCAATATTAATTTAATTTCATGCATTATAACATATAACATGCTAATAGATTTAGTATAATACACAAAATGAATTTGAAAATATTCAAATGGCGTGTATTATATTCAAGGAAGTTGTAGCATATACTTGTAAGTAATTAGAAAAAATATATTTTACTTCAAGTCAAATTTCATATACAATGTACATCATATATTTCTTTTTTAATGTAAAACTTAATTACTAATATTTATTCTATAATAATTATATTATGAAAATGCATGATATGTATAGTAATAGGAAGGAATGAGCATATCGAAATAATTAACGAGCTACTGTAATTAGTAATCATAAGAAAAAATCTACTTTTCAAAATTCTATGATAGAAGTTGAGAATGTACTATACGTAGAATTCTAATCTCTTACCTGATTACACCAGGAGAAGGGGCGAAGCCCATATTCGATCGAGAAGAAATAAAAACTTCTGAGGAAATACCGAATGAAGCCGAAGAGCATCGTACTATTGAATTAACTAGAACACTAACGACAGGTAATAGCATATTTAATAATTATAATGTAGCGTTAAATATGAAATAAACTACATTCTATGGAAGATAGGGAGATGATGAAATCTCTGTTATTAACGTCTTATTATAATTAATTATTAAAGAGCGGAAAAATTTACCATTTTATATATTCTTTTTTCTTTTTACTTATTTATCTTTTTTCTCCGGTAGATAAAAAAAACGATTCAGAACAAAGTTCTACGACTAGAAAATTTCCACGTTCCCCATCTTTTAGTCCTAAAAGGCGTCGCTCTACATCCTCGAGTTTTCGTAGACGTCGCTCAATATCCTCGAATCTTCGTAGACGTCGCTCTGGGTCTTCGAGTTCTCGATGGCGACGTTCCGAATCGCCGAGTTCTCGAAGACGACGCAGTCCTAGTCCCGGCAAGCGCACAAGCTCACGGTCAGGCGCACTTGAGTCAAGGTCTGTAACAGGATATTATTTGTAAATATTATCATTAATTTTGGCTGACCTTCAAAAGCTGAATCATTGAAACGAAATCAAAGTCAAATGTGAATTTTGGAGATAACTTTATTGTTTAAGGCGCCACTCCGATACCCGAAAAAGTATGAGCCGCGAAACGAGGAGGCGCACATCATCCGAAGATTACAAATCTAAATCAAATGTCCATTGGTAAAAAATCGTCTGATGTGATTTTCTAATTAATTTATATAACTCGAATGATTTGAAACTTGATTGCAGTACAAAAGAGTATAGAGAGTCTCGAGAGAGAAGGAAAGGTCGTTCGCATGATCGGCGAGAAAGACGGGATTCTTCGAGGGAGCGTCGGCTTTCTCCAACTTATTTCGAGCGAATGCCATTCCCCGGCCATTATTGGGTAATTTCTTTTAGACAATTTGTATATGGAAAAAGAACCTTAAAAAGCCAAGTGCCAACCTTAAAGCTACGCTAATGTTAACAAATGACAAATTCACGAACGATGCTCCAAATTATCCGAATTTTCCGGCCCGAAATGATCACGTCGTCACGAGGACGACCGCAACCTAATAATAAGCCCGCAAAACATTTTAATCCGAAAACCAAATCCCAAAGCTATTTAAATAAATAAATTTCCAAGGGTTGCGTTCCAAGGCCAATGCTGACGGGACGACTGATGCCACCAATTGGAAGGCCGATGATGTTTGGGCCCCGA